TTTTTACCTGCAGTTTTGCATGTAAAAAAGATTTTGATTGAGGAGTCATTGTCAGAAGATGAATTTATGAGAAATATGGCTATGTGTATGCAAATCAAATTCAACAAATATTGGGGGGAATGTAATCTTTTAATGTCTATTGCAGCAATTTTGGATCCTAGATTGAAACTCAAATTTATTAGCTACACATTCCCAAAAATATACTCACATAGTGAGGTTGAACAAAATCTTAAAATAGTTCAAGATGCATTGTGGGAAATATATGCAGTTTATGTTGTTGATTGTAATGTTTCAAATGAGGGTTCTTCAACTGTTGGTGATTCTATGAGTTCCTTAACTCAGTTTGACGTTATGTTTGGGTTTCAAGATTTTGTTGTAGCTTCTGGATCTGTAGAACCTTCGAAACCTGATTTACAGATATACCTTGAGGAGGGATTATTTGTGTGCTCGAGTGAAAACTTTGATGTTCTTGATTGGTGGAAGATGAATACATTGAAGTATCCCCGGCTTTCAATTATGGCAAGAGATATTCTATCAATACCCATAACCACTGTTGCCTCAGAATCTACTTTTAGTGCTGGTGGTAGAGTATTAGATGATTACAGAAGTAGCTTATCCACTAAAACCATTAATGCATTGATTTGTGCCTCTAGTTGGCTTCGATCTGCGCAAAAAAATGCAAAGACACTTATGGTAATCTTTTCATTAATTATACCATTTTCTACTTTCTCTTTTATTTTATTTATTCTCAATGTTACATACTAACATTTATTTATATTATTTCTTTTCAGCAAGAGATCATTGATGAGGAAAAGCTTAATATTCAATTACCAGATATATGAAATCAGCTTAGTTATTTTGGGTTATTTGTGCTTTTCTTTTAAGGACTTATTTGTGTGAACTTACTTCATTTCATGTGACTTAAATTTCTAAAGTTTAATCATTAGTCTACAAACTGACGGGGCTGATATTTATATTTTTTCTAATAGTTTGCTCTTTATTTTTTTCCCTTTTATCAATGAAAGATTTTTTTAATGCATATGTTTGAACTTCTGTTCTATTTGTCACTTTTTAGAAGTAACTCAGTGATAAATTTGTATAGCTTTGTTAATGAATACTTGTCACTTTATTTGTCACTTTCAGTTGAAGGTCTGGATGAATTTAAAACATATAAAAAATATTCAAACTGCAGTGAATTGCATATGTTTGAACTTCTGTGCTTTCATTTCTCACACCCCAATGTGTACTGGTTGCGGTTTATTATAGTATATATTCTATTTGAACTTGAGAGCTTGACAATTATTTTCAAGGTCCTTACCAGTCGGGCATTAATCTCTGCTATCTAAAATTTAGTGTACTATTTCTGCTGGCTAAAAAATGCATGCTTCTCAGCTAAATGTATATTGTATAATGAACCATTGTGGCACATTTTGGTTAATATAATTTAAGATAACTAGTATCTTTAGGCAATCTTAATGTATTTAAAAGTTTCATGTCAGTTTGGGAAGATTAGCTTTCAGATTTTTATTCTAAGATTTAATTATATCTAAAATCATGATAAAATGTTATGCACGTATAGTATGTTAGTCATAAGAAGATGTGCTTTTCTGCAATAGTTGATTTGGTTCCATTTCATCCAAAGCACGTTTTGTTGTATGCTGGCTGATTTGATCTGGATTCGAGCTAGATCTAGCTTGTTTATTTACATTTTCACAAGGTTTGGGCTGGTAGTAATTACAACTCATATTATATAGTTAAATTTTAGCCATTTCCAAAGCAAATGTACTTCCAAAGAAAACTAAAATATTAGATCTTCATCCAATACTTTCAATGGCCAGGAGTAAAATAAAAATAGCTTTAGTTGGTTCCTCTGGTAAAGAAGCAGCTTTTCCATTAATGGTCATGGTTGGTGAAATTCTGTTTATAGTTGAATTTGGGTTTTCGAGCTTCTTAGTATTAGTTCCATGATTTGGAAGAGATTTTGTGTGGTGGTGATTAGATTCGTGGTTTCCGGTCCCCTTTAGAAGGCTCATTTGAAATTTACTTTCAGGTTCAGTTGATAAGAAGAGCAGGCAATACTTCTGTGTTAATACTTCTGTGTTATTTTCAAGATATGAAATTAAAATTTTCATGAATGTTTGCTTCAAACGATGTAGCTCAATTATGTTGTTAGAATGAATAGGTTGCCACAATGGAAAATTTTTTATTTGTTCAAGAAGATATGCAGCAAGGTGTTAAACTTGTAGATTTTAACTCTTCCAATGCATTGGTTTTGAAGGAGCTTCGACAGCCCAAACCTATAAGGGCGTACAGCATTTCTCCCATATATGTTTGATATTGGTGCTTGCAGCTGTTGTTTGCATGATATATTTACATTTTTAACATCTAAACTTAAGTCCTTATATTGACTTCATAATCTCCAAATTGAAAGAATTTTGGTCGATGCCCTCGCCAGCATGAGCTTTCAATCATTCTGGATATGCTTGTATTCGGTGCTTTCCATAATGTTTCTGTCAACTTTTTGATACAGATGAAATTAAGACCTTGTATTTACTCCCTTTTGTGAGGAAAGCTTCAGGTTTTGAGAAACCTTTGCTCCATCAATTTTCCTTCTTAATTAGCAATGCTTTCATTCCTCTGTATAGGCTTTTATGGGCTGGAAATGTGATGATGACAATTTAGGCATTTGATATGTAAAAATATGAAATTCTTATGGGCTGGAAATGTGTGTTTGCAGCTTGGATGGTCCTCCTTATGGGCAACCGCTGCTTTGCTGAATGAGAATCTGTTAGTGGATGGTCCTCCTTATGGGCTGGAAATGTGTGTTTGGCTGTTTGCAGCTTGGATGGTCCTCCTTATGGGCAACCGCTGCTTTGCTGAATGAGAATCTGTTAGTGAGAGTTTGAACACCTGCGTTGAACATTTCTTTAAATGCTCCATGATTGAACACAACGG